GATTTAGACAGCGTATGCCCGACATCCCAGAATCTCCTAAAACGCGGCATACACGAACTTTTGATGTATTTTTTCAAGTTACATTGTGTATTCATAGAAAGTCCAGAACTTTTGTGATAGCATAATGCCCATGAAATGATGCACAAGCCAGTGTCCTGAGGGGGGCAGCCATGCGCCCGGAGGCACCCTAATAAAAAATGTCTTTGATCACAGTATAATAAGTAAATGGCTTTTTTATCCCCCCCTCAAAAAAAAAAAAAGAAAAAAAAAAGAAAGAAAGAAAGAAGCTTCGGAGTTGCAGCAGATTCAGCTTTTTGTCAGCTAGGAAGTTTGTTGGTCGTGACCGTGGGCGTGAACGCAGGGTGGATCCATCACCCTATGATGGGATGCAGTCTGGAAGAGAACTGATGGTTTCCTCCTGTGAACCCCCTTTTATACCAAAATGCATCCAATACATCATTATACAGTAGCTGTGATTTAGAAACACGTTCAGAGGTCGTCTGGAACACGTCAAATACGTTAGGCGCTGGAGATAAGGTCTTGATAAGTTAAACATAGGTTATGTACATGTTGCTCATAGGTTTTGGATAAGCCAGACACCACGAATTATGAGTAACTTTCACTTAACGTATGTCAACTATTAAATAACTTACCTGTAAATTATGGCCCCTGTATGAGCAGACGCTGGCGTACGTCGGGAAATTTTGAGCATGCTTAAAACTCCTTGACGTACTTGCCCTATGTCGATGTGTCCCAGCGTGTTTCAGCGTTTTCCAGCGTACTTCAGCAGCAACTTATACAAAACATACTCATAACTTATTCAAATCTAAATCATCAAGAAGTGACAGGGACTTTAGACTTCTGTTCTGTAGATTTCGGTTTATTGGTGCTTTTAAACTTAAATCGTGGCCATTTTTTACTGAAATGACCAGAATGCACCAATTTCTGTTTCATCTTCACATCATGACATTTAGATTCGAAGAACAGCTAATATATTAAAAGCCATGATAAAAAAAACTGTTCTGTATGTAAAAAAAGAACATGATGTTTCAACACTGTTCGGTCTACTTCAACATGATGTGATAAAAAATTTATTTTCCAAATCAAGCTTATAACACTTATGTCTGAGGAAAGAAAACATGTTTCTGCACTTCAGCCTCACTTAGATTCAGGGTTGCTGCACTTTGCAGCACACAGTGATGTCCAGAGAGCAGCTAACAGAGTTGAACCTGCATGGATGCATACATGATTCCTAAATGCTGACACCCATGAGTCCTTTTCCTTTAGATGACTGAACCATGTCTGATTCCCCATGTACACTCGTGCCTAAAAGCGTTCAAAAAATTAACATTTTAAATGACCCAACATGAAGACAATTTTCTGTTTTATAAGGTGCTGGTGGATAGAGACTGGTACTACAAGGTGTTCGTTTTCTGAAACTATTTGAGCTGGATTTTATTAAATGAAATAAAGTCGTAAATAATTGTGAAGTGAGATAAAAATGACAAATTATAGCATTTCTACAAACAAAAACTGGAAGATTGTGATGAGAAATTGTGCTCAGAGTTAATCCATTATAGCACAGGCGTAACTTTCTGAAGGACAGTCCCCACCTAAAAGTTATGCTGTTTTTCCTATTTCTGCTCATTTACTTAAGACAAAGGTAGCAGAGGTTGGATGCAGCTGTCTTCAGAGCATTTTTAGTCAGTGTTTTTATTCTCTCTCGTGCTGCCCCAGTGTCCCGCCTCTCGGTGTAACATCATCAGATCTGTCACTTTGAGACATCTGACTTCTGGTCGCATTCCAAAGTAGGTTGAAGGAAAGACACACAGCAGCATTAACCTGCAGCTACTTCGATGTATGTTTAAGTGAAAGATAGAAGACGGGTTGGTTAAAAAAATTTGAGATGAAACAAAAAAATCTGTTCGTTAGACATGAGGAGCTTTTTCAGTTATAAATGGCAACAGAGAGTAAGTTTATACAAGTTAGTATTATAATGCTAGAAGCTTTGGAAAACATACATGCTTTGTTCTTCTTTACTAGTTAAAAAAAGGCTTCGCTTCTCAGAAAAATGTACACGTTTTCTTATTGAACAGACAGAATCCGACTGCAGAGCTTCTACATATCTTGAAATTTTGTTTCTGGAACCATTACTAGGGATGCACGATATAATCGGCCCCCTATTAGATCCTGTTCATTGAAATGGTTCTCCATCATGATGTAAAACAAATCAAAAGGTGTAGAGCAGAATCCACCATAAATAAATTGGGTAGAATATTTACTAGTTGAAAAGGGGAACATTTCTTCATGCAGAGCTAGGGATGCACAATATAATCGGCCCCCTATCGGTATCGGCCTGTATCGGCCTTAAAACTGAATATCGGACATCGGCCACCCCACCGATATTTAACCCGATATTTGATCAGCTTCTGAGTTTCTAAAGTCTAAAAAAAAAAAAATACTACTTCTTTTTCCTTCTCAAAAACTTCTTTTTTACAGACTTAAAAACTTCTAAAGACGAGGGAAAAAATATTGATACATTAAAATATCACAATATCTTCATATGCTGATATATTGCCATTTAAAAACACCATATCAATCTCTTTTACTAATGAAATATTGCTATATGTCATCGTTATGATACAAAATCCCCCGAAAATTCACGAAATTTTGCTATATTTTTATATGTTGATATATTGACGCGGTATCGATCTATTTTACTAACAAAATCTCACAAGAATTTGCAAAATATCACGACAGTTTGTAAAAGAACGATGAAATTTCACGAGATTTTGAAAGTAAAATAAATCGATACCACGTTTTTAAAAATCTATTTGATATCAGCATATGAAAATATATTTGAGTACATTATTTTTCAAAGTGTCAGAAATGAATAACAAAACTGCTATTTTCAATGACTACTTATTTTTGACCAGCTTTAACATCGGTATCGATATCGGTCATCGGCTACATGAGTTTTAAAATATCGGCATATCGGATATCGGCCAAAATCCCAATATCGTGCATCCCTAATCAATATATTAGTAAAGGGGCTCATAAATCTTTTTAAACAGCACAGAGAGAAATAGGGATGAATCAGATTTACTGGGATATGCAAGAAAAAATAAAATATATCTCCAAGTTTACCAGAAGGTTTACAGGGAAAAAATGCTATATTTAAAATGCAGCATATCCATATTTTTCTGGATGGATGAATTGAATTGAAATTGTACATTCTAGGGATGAGAGATATATCGATTTTGGCATCAGAATCGTCTGTTATTCGTTATTCTCTTATACATGAATGTTTTTGGGCCCTATATATACACTCACCAGCCACTTTATTAGGTACACCTGTCCAACTGCTCGTTAACACTTAATTTCTAAGCAGCCAATCACATGGCGGCAACTCAGTGCATTTAGGCTTGTAGACATGGTCAAGACAATCTCCTGCAGTTCAAACCGAGCATCAGTATGGGAAAGAAAGGTGATTTGAGTGACTTTGTACGTGGCGCCAGAAGGGCTGGTCTGAGTATTTCAGAAACTGCTGATCTACTGGGATTTTCACGCACAACCATCTCTACGGTTTACAGAGAATGGTCCGAAATAGAAAAAAAATTGAGGCAGTTCTGAAGGCAAAAGGGGGTCCAACCCGTTACTAGCATGGGGTACCTAATAAAGTGGCCGGTGAGTTTATAATGCACTAAAGGGCATCTCTCTAACTATCGATAAATATAAATATCAGTGTATTATGGTTCTCTTGTGTTCTCAATAATAGGAAAGCATTCAATAAATATATGTTTGAGCTCTTTTTTGGAAAATACAAAAACCTAAAATAAGCGTTCGGGTTCCATCAGCCACCAACCGAGTGTCCCACCAAATTTAATTACAACATTACACCCTTGTTTTGCAGGTTAAACGCAGAACCATTCTTTAATCTGTATTTTTGCAGGGAAAGGACATATTTTGTTAATGCAAAAAAAAAAAAAAAATGAAATCCAGGAACAAAAAAGTGTAAAATTCTTGATCAAAAACCTTTTGATTAAAAACTTTTCTGTTTTCTAAGATTTTACTTTTTTTCATTTATTTTTCTCAATTTCTTTTTACTGTATTATTTTTAAATGTTTTTTCCAAATTTTTTTTTTTCTGAGTATCTATTTTTCAGATACATTTTTTAAATTGCAATCTTTTAAAATTGGGCTTACAGATAACATTCTCTTCACTTCTGAGGACTGGCTTTTCTCTGGAGTGAGGAGAAAAGACACAGATGTACTGATCTGCATGGATGTTAGCGAAAACATTTTATGGGTCAAGTGTGAATGTTTGTATTTGCGCTTAAAGTAAAGAAAATTTCATAAACATCCATCTCAAGAAGATTCATTTGAAAAACTAAAAAGTGTAACTATAAAATTAGTAAAAGAAAAAAGGTTGGAAAATAACATTTGAAAGAATAAATTTATAGAATATAGAATAAAAAATTATAAAATATAAAAATGTATCATAATATATTAATATCATATATTATTATCATTAATTTTAAAATGATTTTAAAAAGCTTTTTCAACGTTTCATTTCTGGGTTATGTTTTTTTTTTCTTTTACAAAATGTTTTCTTTGCTGAAAAGAACAATAATGGAAAAAAATTTCCGCCATACTTCATGACATATATCAATGTCTGTGTTCGAGACCAGATTAGGGATTTTTTCATCTACATATTAGTAGTAGGCTCCATGCAGCTCCAACAGAGTCACCATTTCGCAGTTCTCTGAATAAAGTCTTTCTATCTAATGCTTATATTTAGCCCTCACAGCTCAGCAGTTTTACACTTAAATGGACTCTACATATGGGTGACTAAGAATTCCTATATCCGAGGAAATCAGGATTAAATGCATACAGTTTTTTGTTTGAATAAGAAAGAATTGTGCAAACAGAAGTTTACTATACACTTGGGACACGTCACCCCTCCCACCACTGAAAGAGGAACATTTAGGATCATCTGACCTGTGAAATGTGGTTGACAGAGCTTTCCATGCGGCGGAGCTGTGAGGCCTGGATGTCGAGCATCTGCAGCACATTGTTGGCCAGGGTGTTGATAAGGTAGGCGACACTAGCCAGAGACTGGGTGGTGTAGCTCTTTGTCTCCTCCAGCGCTCGGTGTTTGTCTGCAGACTGTGGGTAGAGGGGGCAACAGACAGATTTGGGACTGGAGTCAGACAGGGTCAACAACTTAAAAAAACATACAAGCAACTAAGAGCAGCTAAATAAAAAAACTAGGGGATGAAGAAAACCTAAGATAACTTTACTCCCATTAATGTTCGAGCAAAGAAAGCCAGTATGTGCGGCCCACTACTACTATGAGATGGGTCAAACACAAAGGACAAGATATCAATATAAAACATGCAGTTCCTTTGATTGGCTCATCTACCAATAAAATCCAAAGTCGGGGGTCGGGGAAAGCGAGACACTAAGTCGTGGTTATAAGATGGTTAACACAATCAATGCAACCTGATTGCTGAGTGATATGCAGCTCTGGGATGAAATGTCTTTTATGGCTCCTCTTCCCTCCATAAGACATTTCATCCAGGCACTGCGTGTCCTGAGCCCCTAACATCATCAATGACCCCCTTTAGTTATTTATCCAATACATAATTCAAACATTTACTATACCATTAACATTTAAATTCCACAGTTAATTTATTAAATGGTATAAAAAATACTATTAGTATTTTACATGTATTATTTAATAAAGAGACATAATTTTATGGGGTCGTCAGTTTGCATTGTTATTTTTGGGGTTAGAGGCTGAAATGTCGGGAAACTAGTGATCTATGGGTGGTTTTCTTTCTATATAAATCACAATGTTCCAAGATTTATGATATCTTTCATCAGGATGGAATCAGTCTCCTAAACAACTAGAGCTGTCGACATGTGATGTCTGGTTAAGGAAATATGAGCTAAAGATTGGAGTCTTGCTCATGGATGTGGGAGTTTTAGGTTGTCAATTTTCTCCTGGATCCTAGTCTCGAGTTGTGCTGTTGATTTGCCTAATATGCTGACACGTATCGGAGCAGCCAAATAACTGGACCTGAGTGAGTGTAGCAAAACTATATCCAACTCAGGTCCAAATAAATAAAAAATAAAACAAATGGTATGAGCGAAGGTAAAAAAGTGTATGGTTAAAGTGGCTGCTTAGATGCTGAGAATCGGAGTGAACATTTCGGAATCACACCAATAAACTAAACTATATTCACACTTTATGTACATTTATGTATGAAATGGGAAAATTGTCCCTGCAAAAAGCCTTGAGATGACATGTGTTGTGATTTGGCGCTATATAAATAAACTGAATTGAACATGTATATGCACACAAGGTGGATTTATTTGTTATTATAAAACACAGATAACATTCTTGAATTATAAACAGAGCATTCTGAAGCATCATGAGTCAAATAATCTGAACCTAAATGTAAAGAGATCACGTTGAGTGGATGTATGGAAAATATACCCATTTCAGTCCTCACAAGCATAAAAATATCATCTGTGTGTGGGTGTGTGTGCTGAAGCCCAATATAGGTCAGTGCAAACTCATTCAAGCCTGAAGTTGACAAGAAACACACTGACACTCAAGTGTGTATCTATCTGTGTGGGTTTGTGTGTGTGGGTGGGTATTTCTTAATGGGGACCATTTTCCATAGATCATAGCACATCGTGGGGACCAATGCCCCGTCCCCATGGGTAAAAATGCTGTTTGGGGTTGGGTGTAAGGTTTAGGACTAAGGTGTGAATTGATTTTAGGGTGGGGTTAGGGTAAGCTATGAATCTGTATTGGTTAGGTTTAGGGTAAGGGTCAGAGAAATGGGTTGGAAATAAATGAAAGTCCCCACTAGGACAGAGAAACGCGACGGTGTGCGTTTGTGTGTGTGTTTGCACACACAGATACATGGAGTCAAGACATATTATAACTGACAATGCAAACAGAAACACACACACCCAGTTTGTGTCATGACTTCAGATGACCCATTGCCCTACATTTGCAGTCCAAGGCGAATTCCACATTTCTTGAACCAGATAACAGCAGAAGGAAGTGCTTAAAATCTGCTTTCAGTCCTGCCAGCAGCTTGCAGAAAAGCTTAAACTTTATATACGGCAAACTGCCGGTGGAAGCTACCTGAGGTCACAGAGACACAGCAGTAGTTAAGGCATTATTATAACTGGCTGAATTAACATCCTTCTTTGGGTAACAAGCAAGCCCAACAGTTCATTAAATGGGATTCTACTTTATAAAGTTCTTTTTTTTACCCTCAATCTGGTATTTATACATCTATGAATAAGCAAGTTCCTCTCGACCTTTACGTAGTATTTATATAAACTAAAAAAAACATCTGCCTCTCTGTCCCATCACAGCAGTTTCTCTACCTGCTTGCTCCCTTAAATCATTCCCAAATACATACAATATTTTTATTGTATATTGTATACTTTCCAAAGGTGGAACATTGTGAGATTTTGATGTCATTAGTGGAGACGGTTTAAACTGCAGTTACATGAAATTAATTTTATAAGAGGGCTTCATTATGTAACATCAATCTATCATTATTATGAGAGTGTATGTAATATTAAATCATGATGAAAACAATATTTGTTGTATTTAAACTATATGTAAAATTTCATTAATTCATACTTTAGATGATGACCTTGTACCTTAGTAATGACCTTTGCCTTTACCGTTGACTGCTTTAGAGGGGCGTTCAGGAGCGAAACTAGTTTCCAGCAATGCCAATGGTGCCATTAGTGTTAATAGTTAAAATGAGGGAAGAGGCCAAACCTGCAGTGAAAACAAAGCTAATTTTGCTAGTTTAGAAGTCAGGAGCTCCTTCTATTTGATGGAAAGGAAAATTGGGTGAAAGCATTTTTTCTGTTGGTCATGCAAATTGATGGGAAAATGTAGTACATATTACTGTGTAAGAACTGTAGGCCTTGTATGGATATTTATGTGCTACAGCCTGATAGCATTGTTTGTTTCTATTGCCGCTATAGAGAGAAGCATCCTGTGAAACACGTATAAAACACTTAAGTCCATCATTTGCACCTTATGGGTTTGAGATATACGTCTAACCTTGACTCAAATGGAAACAAGGTCGGTATTAGACATTGTTGATTTTGCTGACCAGTGGAGGTCTTCAGCCATGAGCATGCCTTCAGCTGTAACAATAGTACCATGACCTTTCATTGCTTTTCTTTTTTTTGAATGCTGCATTAAATAACTAAAGTGTATGATGGGAAGCTTGAAGCTCATTTGAGTCCCCAAAAACTAAAAAAGAAATAATATCCTGACATTCAGGAATTTGTTTTGTTTACATCCATTCTGCACTAGTTGGTTAAATGTTTTTTTCTCATGTTTTTCAGCATGTTTCCTTCCCATTCTGTCTGAAATCCTCCATAAATGTATTACGACATCTTTACATCTCCTCTGCAGCCTTTTTTTCCCTCTAATGTCCCGTTAGCACTGACCTAGTTGGGCTGCTGCCTTATTTGGCCTAGCGCAAGGGCAGACAACACATACACACATATAGACACGTACAGATGCTGTTAATAAAGACCGATTTTTATTTCCAACTAAGTTCACAAACATGAATCATATTAGATCTACATGGACTCCTATGCACGCTCTGATTTCTCTGACCTCTTTTTTAATGAAGGCATATTCAATTCAATTATACTTCAATAATCCCCGAAGGGAAATTCATTTACACTTTATTAGCATAAAGTATACAATCCAATGAATCATATTTTGATGCTTCTTGCTGCATTGTGATGCATATTGAGGTTTTTAATGAATCAAAAACACCAACAACAAAAAATTACCTACAAAAAAGCTTTGGGTGTGGCAACTGATGCTGTAAATTTAAAGAAGCTTCTGCCTGAAAGGATACAACAAACATTATCTAAGTAGGGAAAATGCTGAATAATAACATAAACATAGGACCAGTCTCTAGTGTATCTGTCTATAGAACATTTTCTAAATAGATTTAAGTGTGTAACTTTAGCAGGCCATTAGAACACCTTCGTTTTTTTCTTTCCAAAATAGTTAGTAAATAAATAATCCACTGGACTTTTTTTCCAGGTTTGAAGACATTTTGCTTCCCATCCAGGAAGCGTTCTCAATTGAAAATGTCAGAAATAGCAATAAGTTCGAGGATTTATAGAGTGGACCAAAACAAAGCCTTGTTTTGGCTCAGAAAACATGCAATCAACTCAATCGCTGAATAGAAAGTTTTTTCAGCTTTCAAAGATCTAATATTAAGCGATTGAGTTGATTCATTCCTACTATCATCGCAACTCCCACCACCTTACAGGGGAATAGAAGTCTTGCATGTTCAGGCAGACCAACAATTTCCTTTAACAACACTCCTTTCAGAGACATAGACAGGTATCAGGTATTACAGGCTAACAAAATAAACAAACCACCCCAATTCCAAAGGGCGGACCCATTCGTCTGGTTCAATTTGCATGTCTTCTAAGCCAAAATAAGACTTTGTTTTTGGTCCACTTTATAAATCCTGAAACATTTTGAATTGAAAGAGCTTCCTGGATGGGAAGAGAAACGTCTTTCAACTTGGAAACAAAAGTCGAGTGGAATTTTTTTGTTTTCAAACCTTTCAGAGATAAACTTTCAGCTTCGCAACCTAGGTGTGCATGGGCTTAAAGTCAGAACAAGGTCGTCAAACAGCCCTTCAGGAGCAAAGTGCAAGTTCCTACCAATTACCACATGTTATTCTTGTCCTGAAGCAGCAAACCAAACCAACACCATCACTGCCATGTTTACATTGTAAAATCAGTCCTTTTGTCTAAGTTTAGATTGTATGTTAGAACAGGTGCAATGCAGCTTAGTGGTGTTTAAATGCATATCTACTAAAGTAGCTGTGGACCCTGGTTCTTCACTTATGTTGGTGCCAAAGAGCCCTCAGAGACAGTCACCAGCAGCCTGCTGCCTGCCTTGACCGTAGAAGGAAATGTCCCGCTCTGTGGCAGGCAAGGTTTACAGCCTGAATGTTTTTATAATCACTTAAGGTTTACTGTAACACTTCGGGCAAAACAGTAGCTCAAAAGTAGGATGATATAGACTTATGGCTAATGGTCTGTGACTCTTTGTCTCCTTAGAGAGAAGAAAC